GGAAAAGAGAGAGATGTTCTTCTCTTGCAGATGCCTTGTGTATGCTTGGATGAGTGCGCTGTGTGAGTTTCAGTGTCTGAAACAGACAAACGGTGGAGTTTTAGGACTCCGTGTGGTTTACCGGGATTTTTGTTCTTCAATTCACAATAGCACTGGTTTACTCGTATCAACCTATCTCACTCAGTTCGGGAGTTTTCAGAAGCCGGTGCACGCAGTGATACTCAGGAGTATCTTGACGTGTTGGCAACTTTCTTGCTATTGGTGTTCTGGGCTTGCAGAGCTCCGTTCGGCGATAGCTTGATCGGTAGATGTTGCCTGTCGCTCACCGTGATATGATGGATCGAAATCTCGCGCGATGACACGATGACGTAATCCTCTTCAACTCGATGAATAACAGCCGGATTTCCTTGCTTCCAGCACGTAACTGGTGTGTCTTCGTGTGCTCTTCAACGTGCACTGCTTGTACTGCGATAACTCCGGCCGGAAGTTACAGCGTACCTTGTAGTGTACTGTCGACAATGGGAATGAGAATCTTTCCCGCGCACGCACCTCTTTCCTGTTAGAGGCTTTTCGATGCTCTGATAGTGTGTCTAGAGGCTGATTCTTCGCACCTCTTCTCTGTTGCAGGTGTTAACTCAAAGCTTTCACTTGAGGTCAATACACTTTGACTTGATTTACCTTGATATCGATCTCGAGATCGGTAGTAGTAACTCGAGATGGCCTTTTGCTTTACAGTGTTGTTTGCTAGTATACTGCAGCTTATTGGGGAGTAATTTGGTTTTAGATTAAGCTGTAAAGCAAAAGTGAGGATTTTCTGGTGGTGATAGCAATTCTTGTGATTGAATGGATATAAGGACCCCCGCAACACTTTAGACCTAAAACTCCCTTGGTTCCTTGCATGATCAATTTACATGCGAACCGACTAGATGATTAATACACGAGTCAATAGTAAAGAAGTGTCAGGTATTTTTCCTCCAACATCCATGGTTCCCATGAAAAAGAATGCCATGAAAGATTGTGGGAGGCATTGGCTTCCACTGTACCAACCAGAAAAACTAGGAGAATGAATCCATTGCATTACCATATTGGAATCCTTTGTGGCAGAGGTTGGCTGCTGCTGTAGTGAAAAAGAATGTCTTGTGTGAAGTTGTTGCTTCCACTGCGGCGAAAGCTGCTGTCACCATCGTTAACTTTTATTGTAGTCCATCAAAATGGATTTGTTGATTTGGTCACAGTTTTAGTCACTAATCTAGTCACTAACAGGATTCAAAGTTAATCCATTTAGTCAACTCGAGGCGCGCATACCTGGCTTGTGAACCGGTGGTTCAGAGGCCTGGCCAACTCTCTCTGGTTTGGACGCACACTTAACCTAGTCATTGTTACGTCATGCATGACTTCAATCTAGCATGACGTCAGTAAGTCACCGTGACATCATCATGTCTGAATCGGGTATTGACAATCAGTCATGCATGCATGCCTGCGTGCATGGTCTGATCAGGACGATGGGCTGCCATGCATGCGCAGCTATATAGGACGTCAGGAATTATCCCTAATTTAGCCTTAAGTAAAATGGTCAGGTTCTTGTTCATATTTGTGGTAAAAATGTTGTCTATTCGTCGTTTTGTTAAGGAAGGGTTAAGATGCCACTGAGTCTTGAATGACTGGGGCAACGACTTGATATAAACAATGTGTCAAGTAGGTGTTCTAATTATTGTCTAAGTTGGGACGACATTATTGTTGTTAAGAATTGGTGGTTAAACTTTTGGTAACTTCTTGTTAATTGTGTGATACTCTAAGCTGGAATGACCCACCCAAAGTCAATATTGGTGTTAGAATGTCTACTTTGGAGAGTGATAGTAGATGATAACGAAAGGGAGATCTTGTTAAGGCTACGTTAAGAATGCCTTTACTAACCACCGATTAACAAATTTTCGCACCTTAGTGGAACGGCTCAACCGCTGGTCTTTTGTCTTTTGGACGAAATAGCCGTCCTGCAACTACTACATGAAGAAGCTAGCCAGCTAGTCTCTTCAAGCATTGCAATGGCGCGAAATGGAGTCCATCTGATCTATCAATACTTTCAGTTGAAACCTTCCCCATGTCTTAATCCAGGACAAGCGAAGCAGCGCCAGGCTGAGTATGATCACTGCTTGATCGCCAATCTTTGCCATGAATACGTGTTGGGTGTGCATATTCTCTTTGAAAGCCTAACAGAACAGCAGGGAGCTATTTCCATTATCCAAAAGCTCGAAGAACAGCAACGGCCATGGCTCTCCCCCTGCGACCCAAACTCCATCCAAACGTGCTGGGCCGCCAAATGCTCTACAGTGACGCCATGCAGTATGCCAACGACAAGTTATCTGGAAAACTGGTGGTGATTCTCAATGCGGATATTTACTTGGGAAGTGGTGTAGATCAACTCTTACGTCATCGCCATCTATTGGAACCAAAGAACAATGGCAGCCCCGTTGTCCTCAGCTTGACTCGACACGAACATGGCACTTGTCGGACCACAAATAATGCTAGCAATCAACCATCAAATGATTGGTGTGGATGTCCCTTTACAAGACCTGGCCTTTATTTTGGATCGCATGATTCTTTTTGGTTCGAGCCGCCACTCGACAACAGGGCGATTGAACGGTGCCAACACGTACAGAATCGGTGGGGAGCTGAACACAAAGTAATAGTTGAACTTTTGAGGGTTGGCTACAACGTTGCAAATCCCTGTCTGACAATCCACACCCATCACCACCATGCCACTGACGTTCATCCATGGGCAAAAGAAGCAGGTGGAAACGACGTCTTGGCAGATCCGACGGATCACTTGCCTCTCCCTCCGACAACGCTGGATCAAATTGTCTCCGATTGTACATAGGGAGGGATTAGGAAACATGTATGGATGATCTTTAGTATACGGCCTCCATTGAATTGGAGAAACGTCGTGAGCGTCTAGTTGGTCCAGTCCACGAAGGGGGGGAAGAGAATGGTGTGGAATGAAATTCACGCCCAATCTATTCAGTTCGGCACGAAACTCTGGCTGACACAGCCCGAAGATCCAACGAAGACAATTGCAATAGGCCTGACTGCAAGGATGACAAGAGAGATGTTGGTACGGTATGCCTGGAGGGATCTTAGTATCCCTGGATACACCCTACAGCCTACAGAGACATAGGTAGTCATACTGGGCCTGATAGCTACCAGTTCATAATTTTGAAAAAACAAAAACCCAAGAGCAGTCTCCATGGACAACATTGAGCAGGGTTTTCGGCCCAATCCCCGCCGTCTTGTACATGCAATTGGCTGATACTGTAGGCATTGGATTGATTATGGGATTTTCATGCCAGCTAGGATCATGGCTTCCCTCAAATCCCCGCACCTTGCTCCATTTGATTGTACCTATAGCTCAAGGCTACGAGTGCGCCTTGTTCAAAGGCTTCCCACCTATGCAATCGGCAGCATCCATACAATGGTATATCTTCCATTTAACCGTAACCGGAGCCAAAGTTGTTTCAAGAATATCATTGTCAAAACCGCAGCAGTCTGCTTGTATTATAAAACTGTTATAACTCTAAAGTCAGGGACCTCATCGTCATGAAAGTGCGCCACTAGTAGGATGATGTTTAGCGCGTCGATTGCGTCCAGGTCCCTCACGCGTATGCGGTGGTGCCAGCGATAAATCTCGTTCACCTTGGAGGGTGCGACGGCCGAAAACGGGAACCCATTGTTCAGATAGCTCCTGGTGTTGCCGAATTGAAAATCGCGCACAGCCTCTCAGCTTCGTGCTTGCATCAGCTATCATGCCTTTTTGTCGTGTCTTCAGCACAAACTCTGCTTCCAAACTTTCTTGAAGGAACTCCAATTAACCGAAGGAGTTACAATCTCAATATCCGTGGATCCCGGTGAATTGCGTAGTTCCACCGCAAAGTCCACCAGCGGCGACAGAGCTTTGATCGAGTCTGGCACTTCTAGCATGTTTCGCTCGAGTAAATCAATCGGAACCACGCGGCCTGTCACCTTTGCCCGGCTCTATGTGCGTTCCAAAAAGTACAAGTGTCAATGGATGCATGCGACCGACGACCAGCACTATCTATATAAGATCCACACCTCTCTATATAGCCCTTACCATGGCGCGCTCCAGAATGGCTTCCCGCGGAGCTGTAACGTGCAGAATACCAATCTGCAATTGGGGATATCGTTCTCGAAGCTCCTGAAAGTACTCTTGATACCATGTCGAGTTGCGCAGAGTGCCATCGACCAACACATTTTGTCCTCGCTCCAGAGCCGCTTGTGACAGTATTTCCGATATTTTGCCAGCTTCCTTTCGCGTGAGCTCCCCAGCTCGTTCGGGAACGGCTTGAACGTATCGTTCAAATTCTGGTAATTGTCGTCGAATGCTGTCGGGGTCGACCACGACAAACTGGGAGAGCGGAAAGCGTCCTTTCTCGTCTAGCTTTCGAATGGTGTACGACTTTCCCGCGCCCATTACTCCAGCCGTAAAGACGGCCCAATGTTTCCCCGCCGTGCAGGTGTGTCCATCCAATTCTTTTGTCGTCGGTGCATGCAGTAACCGAGACTCGATGATATCATCTTGAAACATGATTCGCTCGCATCGATAATGGCTGTGAAAGTTGTAGTCCAATTCGCTGCGGATACTGGCGAATTTGCTGCCGCAGAAATTGTTGTCGGAATCTTCATTATTATTATCATTGCCAGCCTTGTAGTTTTCCTCGGTGGAGAGATCCAGGCGATACAGAGAATCAATATTATCAATTTGCCGGCCTTGTGGCTGCCAAAACTTGAAGGCTGCCTGTAGAACTTGATCATCTGGATTCGTCCTCTGACTGTATCGTAGATGATGCAGACCCAACACTGCCACGGTCCACACCACCAGTGACAGAAAAGAGTATAGAACCGTCGCCGCAAACGGTGCATTGGAGCTTCTTCCCAGCATCATCGACCACACGAGCATGTTGCCCGGAGCAAGTGTACAGCTTTTGTTATGCTCGGTGGACGGTGAATCCTCTTTGATTTTCCCCTTTCGATTCCAAGGCACTACCACGTCAACGGTCAAGTCGATGGATGGCACCACAATGCCAAGGGTCGACCACACCCGTCCTAGATACTTTAGGGTATCAGAATTCTTAAATTCCCAGTGCATGCTGTACTTTGCCTTTCTCCTCAAAACGAGTTGATTCGTCTACTCTTTCTTCAAGATAATCCTGTTGTCATTTATGACTACCAGTACCGGTATGCTATCATCATTGGCCTCGCTTTGGCAGAAGCACAGGAGCAAGATGCCGATATCGGAATGGTCTTGCAAGTGTTCGAAACGCCAACAGCTACGCCAACTATTCGCGTGTTCCTTCTGATTGGTTTCCTTTTTATTCGCTTTCGTGATGTCAAGTGAATGAGACATCTTCTCTTGGAGATTTATTTATTGGAGTCCTCTTGGTATTCAAAGCTTTAATGTTGGTACCGGTAAATGAGACAACAGAAGCTTTGCTAGCTAGCTAGCTACTGTAGTCTACTGGTACTGGTAGAGATACTCCAGAATCCAGAACGCTTACTTTTAGTCTACCGTATCAGGCTCCACACCGGTAGCAAGGAACGCTGGCTGGAGGCTGGAGCCACAATCAGTACAGTGTAACAGTTGGTGTGTTGGTGTTGCCTGGCTTCAGTCAGCGATCACCGAGATGCTAGCTAGCTAGTAACATTGCTGCGGATGCAGGCACAAGTAATTGAAGATTCGCTTCTGGGCAAAGCTAGAAAGGCAGCACGGGCATAAAAATGACTTTATTCCTCACCCAAGCAACTCAACTCCGGATCAGGACGAAGACTCACAACAGAAGGTCAGCACGTTCCAATGGCACTTCGTTGTACCGGTAGGTGCTTGGTTTTGTAGTTTTGTCCGAGAGGTTAATAGCTGGTCGAGTGCACCAGAGCAGCATGGTTTTCTTCGGTCAGCTGGACATGATCCGAAGCCTTGTGCAACTCACATGGATGGTGTGGGAAAACGGAATCGCACGATCTGGGTACCGGTACATGTACCATACATGTGGAAGGCATGCCGGTACTGTAACTATCTATCTAACCTATCTATAAAAATGCAGCAGCCACCTGGCTACGGTAGAAGCTATCTTCATAAAAAAGGTGGCTGTTTGAATAGGAATGGTCTACTCAGCACGATAGTATTGGGTTCCGGCAGTGGAAACTTTCGCGAAGCGTTCGCATGTCCATCGTTAGAAGATATCATTGTTCGGGTCATCGTTGCAAAGCGAAGGAGTTCGCGGTGTTGGGAGACTATGCTGTTTGCCTTCTACATGCATGATCGTGTACCGAATGCACCCAAATTGCTCGGGGAGACTGCGCCGCCAAGCAACCCAACGGTTGTGGCGTCCCTCAAGCCAAGCATGCTGGCCCGGTTTCGTTGAGTCGAATGAGCTTTTCTTTCTTTTTGCTGCCCGGGACCCAAGCACAGGCTCTGCGGCGGTAATACGAAGAGGAGCACAATGAGTGAGATCAGAACTTTGCAGTCAATGATGCTCACCGCTTCACATCTTGGAGCGGTAAAAGGACAGCACGTACTGGACCCATTTGGATGAAAAATTCGACCACGTTTCTCCCTCGGTGCCCAGCTCAATGTCTGGGGCACCCGGAGCATTGTTCAAGTCCACATGGTAGTTTACCAAGGGAGCCAAGATTTTCATGCTTCTTGGCACCTGCTCAATGGCTTCTTCGAGCACCGCCGTTGGCACTACGCGGCCTGTGACTAAGGCACGTTCCTGCATGCAGCCAAAAAGCAAACATCCAAGGAATCCATGGAGAGGGTCAGAACAATCGATTGGTGCAACAGTATGCATTCCAAGCACAAATGCCATGCAAACAAAATCTCACCGCTGCTCGCTGAAAGATGGCTTCCCGTGGTGCAGTTACATGAATGATGGCAAGTCGAAGAATGGGAAAGTCAGAACGCAACCGTTTGAAATATGTCTTGTACCACTCCGCATTGCGCAGAGAGCCGTCAACCATGACGTTCTTTCCGGACTGCAACCCAGCCAATGTCAAAATCTCTGCAATGTAACCCGACTCCTTGTGTGTGAGCGTCCCTGCGAGCTCTGGATTACTCTCACAGTAGACATGATACTCAGGCAGCTGACGCCGAATCATGTCCGGGTCCACTGTGATGAAAGCAATGAGAGGGAATTGCCCATTTTCCACGAGACGTCTCATGGTGTAACTTTTCCCAGCCCCCATTGCTCCACCCGTGAAAACCAACCTGCTCGCCATTGATTTACACGAATCCCCAAGAAACAAGTCAGAAGGGTTCGATTGATTCAAAAAGGCAAAATACAACTGTTCCAGAACTCGACACAAGTAAGTAAGTACTCACCAAGGTTCGGTGGGGGTGGTGCACAGTTGACCATCCTTATCCGTAATCACGGCGCCATGAAGAAACTCGGTGATGATGGCATCTTGAAACTTTTGTCGTTCGTAGGAATAATTCTTGTGATACGAGTAGTCGAGGGTTTCTCGGATATGCGAGTACTTTCCATAAAAGTTGCGATCATTCGAAGCATGATAATCTTCGGTGCTGACATCGACTCGAAATGGTTTTCGCGTGGACTTTCGTCGCAGTCGAAAGCTGGTGGCGGCATATTGTTTTTCTTGGGTACTTGCTTGTCGTCGTGAAAAGACTAGAGCTTGTGGTCTAGCAATTCGTTTTGGATCACTGGTGGTAACCGCCGCCAGTTCTTCGATGGCGGCGCCAGAGGAAGATCCCGGCTTGATGACTTCAACTTCTTGTTGAAAGTTTTTGGTGAATTGTTCCCATGTTTGATGATGATCGCCTTCCAAGACAAAATCGCCACCATTGTCATTGTTGTTGTGGACTGTGCAACAATAGCTGACTCCGACTTCATTAGCCAACGTCTCGACATCGTCGGGTATTTCTTGCAACGTTCGTGCCGTGTCTTCTTTGGGAATGTGAAATCCCGTTTCCAAGGCTCGCCGTTCGACGCGTTCCAAAATGACATCGAGCGGTGCCGTAACGTGAATGAGCGCCACGCGTAGTTTGGGATGTTGTTTTTTGAGTTTGCTGAATTGCTTGATGCGCCAGACGACATCTGCCAGTTGTCCATCAATAATGACATTGTTGCCGGCTTGTAGAGCTGCCAGTGTCAGAATTTCGGCAATGTATCCGGCTTCCTTGTTCATTCGCTGAGGCAGCAATTCTGGACTGCTGTCAGCGTACGACGAAAATTCGGGCAGACTGCGTCGGATCTCTTGAAAATGAAATGAGAAAAAGGAACATGAGCAGACAGAATGAATGAATGAATGAATCATGCACGCACACCCAAACCCTGCTTTTGTTTGACTTACCATCTGCGTCAACAATGATGGTACTCAAGAGAGGCAATCGCCCATCTTCCATGAGTCTGTCAATGAGGTAACGCTTTCCACTCCCTTTGACGCCACAAGTGTAGAGAAGCCAAGGCTCGGCAGGAACACAGTTTTTGGCTTGTTCTTCATGACACAAATAGTCCTCAATGATGCTGTCGTGTAGCCATTGCCGTTCGATCCGGTAGTAGCTGTTTCAATGAGACACAGAGAGTGAAAAGAAAGAGAAAAGAAAGAACAAGATTTTGTCAGAGAAACAAGAATGCCAACGCCAGCTCCTGCCTGCTGCCTGTTTCGAAAACGCAGATACGTACCTGTGGTAGGTGTAATCCAATTCCTTCTTGATATGTTGGTAAGGTCCATAGAATTTCTTTTCGTCACTCTGATTGTATTCGTCCGTCGACAGCTTGATGGAAAAGCGCTTGGTCGAAGCGCGACGCAACCGATCGAATCGACCGGACGATTTTTCCACAAACTGCACATGTGGTGCCTCGTTCGCCACGACGCTTTCTCCCGATGTCATGGTGGTTGTCTGTCAACTAGCTAGTCTAGCTAGAATAACAAAGTTTGCGAGACGCTCTCTGTCTGTCTTTGGGAAAAGATTTGTGATCTTTGGTCTTGTGAACTTACTTGCTTGAGTTGGAGCGATTGCTTGGGATCCTTTTTGTGGCTTGCTTTGTTGCCTTGATGTTCTTCCATTCCTTTGAGACTTGGCAACGGTTTTCTTCGAACTGGTGCCGAGGTGTGACGTGGATTTTGAATTTTTCTATTTTTCTAAATTTCAAAAAGTGAGAATAAGGAAAGATCTTTCGCAAAATGACGAAGCCACGCCAACCAGAGTCTGTTTGACCATGCACAAGTAGTCTAAAAGACGAAAGCCGAGCTGTCACCATGACAGAGCAACCTTCCTCATCTTCATTTCCCCGTGCTCTTCCTCCCTCTCGGTTGGGCAAGAATCTTTCCTCACTGGAAGAATTCACGGCCGCAACAAATGCCGATGCTACTCCAAGACCCATCAAAGAATACTCCCTTATCGTGGTCACGACGACCTCCAATGACAACACGAAAAATAAACAAATATTGTTGGGCATGAAACACCGAGGATTTGGAAAGGGAATGTACAATTCCTTTGGTGGAAAACGAGAACCGCAAGAGACCATTGAACAATGCGCTTGTCGCGAGTTGGAAGAAGAAACGGGTATTGCAGGCATTGACACGGCAAAAATGGCACAGTGTCGAGTGGGAAGCATGCATTATACATTTGAGGATCAAACTACCAAAATGTTGGTACATGTCTTTCATGTTCCTGTGAATTATTTGGCAGAGCCCAAACATAATCACGATTCCAAAGATACAACCAATACCTCTACCAATGCCGTTGTCACTATTGATCCAAACTGTATCCGAGGATGCGAAGAAATAACGCCTCAATGGTTCTCGTATCCTCAGGAAATACCACTCGACAACATGTTTGCCGATGACAGTCTGTGGTTGCCCCCGCTCTTGTCGGCATTCTTTGATAACAACCACAATTCACTACAGATTGATGGGTGGTTCCACTTTTTGCCAGGTGGTCAACAAGTCAACTCCATCCGACATTACTTTATGACTATACGAAACAAGCAGACTCCACCCAAATTCTCTCTCGAAAAACGACTCTTTCATGCCCTCTGTTGCGACCGCATGCACAACACTACCGTTAAAGAATTCAAAGAATCCTGGGCTTTTATCAATTCCGTTCGATCCGTCTTTGGGAACAAGTATCCATTTGACGTTGTGATTGATGTCGCGGGAGGACACGGGGCATTGGCTGCGCTGTGGTTGATTCTGACACCAGCCACACGAGCCGTTGTCATTGACCCGGCCAATGTCGGCAAGGGAGCCGTGGAAACGGCATGGAGACGGGACTTTTTAACAGACAAACGGTTGGATTACCGACATGAAGATTTGAGGACGGGATTGCCTAGTGAATTGAACCACGTCTTGCAGCAACAACAAGTCGACCCACAGAGAGTCCTGGTAGTTGCCTGTCATGCCTGTCAACACTTGTCGGAAGAAGTGCTGCAGATTGTCCTTTGCCAATTCCCCGGAGTGCATGTGGCGGTCATGCCCTGTTGTCAAAAGGATACGTCGACCTCGAATTGTTGGAAACAGGCCAGCAAAAATTTGAACACCAAATTCGAGACTGTCATGGATCTCTTGTTGGCGGGCAAGGCAATGTCCTGGCAGGTGGGAGCGTCGTATGATGTGCGCCTCAAGACGATCGATCGGAACATTACTCCTCAGAATCGTGTCATTGTGGCCAAAGCCATTACTAGCAAGGTGGAAAACACGGGTGCAGAACGGGCAGCTGCACATGAGAAACTGGCGTCCATCTACGCAAGGGCTCATGGTGCACCAAGAAAGGGGAGACAATCCAACACGAAGCCGCAGGAAGGGTCTTCTTCATGGTTGTCATTGGATCGCCCACAACCGATAGTTGGGCTGTTGGGCGTGGCGCTTGGGTTTGCCTGTGGGTTTTGGGTAGCCACTGTGGGTAATCAAAGAAGGAGATAAAGTGGTTTTGCTGTTTAGTATTGTTACTGTATGCAAACTTCTCTAATGTAGAAGAGTTTCTGCTTTTAGTGTGTTTCTAGCTAATAGTTGTAGCCTAATGCTGCTTTTTGTGGCCTTGTTGGATCCATTCATATCCAATGAAAAGTAGCGCATGTGCCGGAGCAGCACGAATCATGTAGGGTGCCAACCTGGCTTGCTGTTGTTGCATTGGGAGCGCAAGTGTACTTGTGTTGTAGAGAAGGGTTCCCTGATAGAGTGCACCAGCAATGGCTCCAGATAGGGCAACAGTGATAATGCTGGGAGAGTTGCTGTTGCTGCTGCCATTCTTGGCGTCAATGACATTGGATGCGTTTGAGGCAAGGATAGATTTCATCATTTCATAGGAAGAGAAGTATATTGTCGCTCCCAAGATATGGCGTGGCAACAAGTTCTGTTGCATCAATCGATTGGCGACTCCTTGGGTTGGGGTTGACATGGGGTTTCGAAGCAACTTGGCTTCGGTAGGCTCAATCAAGCTAATAGCTGCCACTGCTGCACCTGCCACCGCAGAAGATACTGGAGAGAACTTCACAGCCTCCTCTGTGTCGCCTCTCCTGGCCAAGAATTCATCTGCCAAGGCTTTGGTCCCAAACAGCAGGGAAGCTGTAGAAGCTCCAGCCACGAGCTGTGATTTGGTGGCTGCCCGGGCCGTTGATTGTGCATTCACAGATGGAGCGTTGGAAAATGCCGCATGAAGTCTGAAGAATGACACATTGGCGTGTTCTTGCAGTAGAGGCACGGTAGCTCGGTCGGTTGCCAGGGAAGACGAAGCCATTGCTTTGCGAAAGGGTGACACATTTCCAACGGATTTCTTGGTCATTGTGGACCCATAACAAGCCTCTGCCAAGGCTCCCAAGGCGCCTGCAGTGAGCACAGAATAATGAGGGGGGGCACCTCGGCGAGGTAGCGCTGTGGGGTTGTCGAACATAGGGTTCTCATCGAAAGCTGCTTGGGATTGAAAGACTGTCGCGTCCTCTTGAAAAGTGAAGGCAGCTGTGGGGGCGGAGGTACCAGGGGAGTCAATACTCCAAGAGGATTGAGAGGATACCTCTTGTCCTGGGGCCTCGTATTCAGGGCTAAAAGTGCGGAAACCAGGAAGCCCCCCCAAGACGCGAACCGCTTTGGGCCTTGGATCATCCTTCTTCTCCATGTTCTTCAGCAATCGAGCCTGATGTCGGCGGTAGATGGTCGATTCGTTCATTACCTCTTTCAGGGATTTCTTTTGTGTCTTTGGGCTGGAGGGATTTGGAATGGCGGCAGCTAGCTGTGTCATGGTGAATATAATGGTGGATCAGAAGTCTAGACTACTGTTGATGCCGATGCTGGTTTGTTTTTGGCAAACTTGATCTTATTTTTGTGAGAGGGCGGATACGGGTACCTGGTAGCACATACCGGTAGCTCTCACAGGGAACCAAAATACCGGTAGGAAAGCGAAGCAGGTGGTTCAAGATGAAATTTCGATTATTAAGGCTCTTCTTGACACCTTTATTAAAACTGGGCGAAGTCATGTTCTTCAATGGATTTAACAGGCACGTGCTCTCTATTCTCTTCTTCTTCTTAAAAAGCCTTCAGAGAACACCTGAGGCTATTTTAAAAGCCAGTGCAAGCTGGAAGCAATACCAGTACCCTGCGTGGGATGAGGTACCCACCGGTAACAATCCGTCCAGACGGAGCATGTGGTCTGGCAAGCCAATTGACGTTGCTCAACCGCATCCTTCAGTCGCCGAATCATGGGCTCAAGATTGCTGGTAAGCTCCTTTCCTCTCTAACTGCGTGGTGTCAGACAGATGCCCCTCACAAAGCTTCAGTTATTGTCAACGATATGGCTGAGTTGAATATCGATGCCGCTTTGGTCAGCAGCAATGTCGTGCAGGCGGAAGGGGAGGTGATCTCCTTGCAAAATGGATTCATTTGCTGCACTCTTCGAGGGGACTTGATCAGGGAAATTGCCAAAAATCGCCGAAGGATTCTGCTTTTGACCCCGTGTCAGCGCTGAATTGGACCAATCCTCGGAAGAAGCAATGCTCTGGATGCAAGCGAACTTGGAGTGCTGCGTGACTGTGGTGGACGCTCATGGCTTCCCCCTTCACATCAACTCCATTGAGTTTTTTGCGGATCGGTACAAGGACGGGCTGGATACTCCCACACAGGAGGGCATCAAGGAAGGGCAAAAGAGCATTGCAACCCTCCTTATAGAGCAGGTTGGATCGGTGGCAAGAGATAGTGTTCATTGGCACTGACTTGAAGGTTGATTCCATTCGCGATGCTCTGAATGCTTGCCTCCTGACTAAGAAAGAACTCAATCATTACAAGTTCTACAAAGACGGAGGATGGCCTTGAAAGATGCCGATTTGGCACATTCAAAATCATTTCTCGATTCAATTCACAGCAAAGCTTATCTATCTTTACGAGGACTTCTTCAACATCACGAACTGTTCTACTCAAACTCTACCGTACTAATCAGATCTAGACGTGTTCGATTTATTCCTTCTTCTCCTCTGCCGCATCATTGGCTGCAACCGCCTTCTTGGCAAACCTGGCGTTGGGTTTCTTCTGGCAGCATTCCTCCCAATCAGGCCAATGTTCCCGCTGAAAGTTGTCGACAAATTGCACCAGATTAGGGCACTGCTCCTTCATGTAAGCTCTCTGAGGAAAGTCAATTGGTATGAACAGGAACTGGCTCAAGTGCCCAAATACTGCGCAGTCTGCCAAAGTAGGCACATCACCAAAAAAGTACTTTTTATCACCCAAAATATCCGATAGCGCTTGGATATCGTCATTGGAAAACGCCCAGATCTCTTCATCCGAATGACGACTCAATCCTCTCTTTTTGGTCTTATCTTTGGTCGCATCGGGTTGAAACTTGAGCCACATGTCGGTTCCCTTGGGATTTCCGAAGCGATCGGCAATGTCGAGAGATTCATAGAATTCCGGCATCTTGAGTCCATAACGATAGTAAAAGCCAATCTGAGCCGTGTGTTCTTCCAGCATTCGTGTGATTGTATGAGTAACGGCACGATCCATGGGAGTCAAGTTGTTGTCTGTCACTTGCGGATATTCCTTTTGGAACCGAGCGATAATTACATTCGAGTCGGGTAGCTCGTCACCGTGCTCAGGATCTCCAAAGCGGATGTACGGCATCATTCCTTTCTTGCTCATTTGGCCAGTGGTGTAGACTGGTTCGTAAGGGATACCGTTGATCCGGAGGAAGGACTCCAGCTTGATGGCAAAAGGGCACACCGAGTACACATGAGGCACTGGCGGAAAGTGGAAGACAAAAACTCTCTCGGAGGGAAGCGACATGGTGCAGACAACGGGTCGAGTAAGATTGATTATGAGAAGAAGGAAGAGACTTTGGTAGAGATAGTTGGTTCCATTATTCATGAAGCCAACAGCAATAGAGCAAGCACACAAGGTTCTCGCTGAACAAAACCAAGCATCAACGCATCAACGCATCAACGCATCAACCCCGTCAACAATGACACCGGAAAAGCCCAAAAAGCACCATGAAGAAGAATTCTCAGACAGGCACCATCACTGTCACTCGGAAGGTTTCCACTTATCCCTAACGATTTTCTCCGGTACGACTCTCAGGGTAAGAAACCTACTTCATTCATATGCCCTCTGGGTCGTCTCCGTTTCCAGTACTAGTTTAACTCGTTTACTAATACAGGATTATGGTGAATAGAATCGAATCAATGATGTGGCTTATATTTAGGGCTTAGGTTTGGCAATTTTGAAGTCAACGTGGTATATGTGAGGTTGTAAAAGTTTTGTGTGATAGTATGTGTTAAGTGGAGGGTTGGTTCGCTTCCGCTGGGAGCTTGGTGTCTTCTTCTTCC